TTTAATTAAAAAAATAAATTTGTTAAAAAAGAATATATATTATTTTTACATAAAAATATAATAAATGTGATTAATAATTTAGTTTAATTTTTTATATTTTCTTCAATTTCTTATCTTCTTAATTATTTTATCATTATTATTTTTAATTACATAAAATGTATTAAGTTAAAGGACGAGGAATAGAAATCGGCTTTTATTAGGATAAGAACAAATTATAAAATTATAATACATAATAATTATTTGTGTAATATTAAATATTTTAAATGATTCAAATTTATTTTTACCGTTTAAATATTACATAACTTTTCTTTTCACCTTTCTTTTACATAAAAAATTTTATGTTGATGAATTAAAGAAAGACAGATGTACAAGAGCATGGAAAGTAAAAGGTTGTGAATATACAAAAATTCAATTATGATTCATTTAAATAATAAAAAATGTAACTTCAATGAAAATTATTATATTATAATTGATAATGGAAGATTAAGAGGCACACAATTAATAATATAATATATATGATAATTGTTGTGCTATTTTAATATTATTTTCAAAAATAATGATAAAGAAAGAAATTAAAACAATTTATTAACAATTTAAATGTAATTTATCTCTATATTAATACATAGTTGATAATGGAAGATCAAGAGTAATTAATAATGTAATGTATAAATGATAATTGTTGTATTATTTCAATATTAATTTCAAAAATAATAATAGGGAAAAGAAATTGAAATAATTTATTAACACTTTAAATATGGTTTATCTTTATATTAATGTATGAGGTAATATATAAAAAATGTAATTTATTATTATTATTTAATATTATTATTATTACTTTATTCAAAAATAAAAATACAAGCAAATATGAAAGACAAAAGGTTTGTATGAACAAAAATTTTTTAATGAATGTAATTTCAAAATTTTCAATTACAATTATTATATCATGATTTAATAAAAAATATAATCTCAATTGTAATTATTATATCATGGTTTGTTATTGTAAATAAAAAGACAACATGATACAAATAACAGTTATTAAATCCATTTTACAATTCAAAAATAAATAAATAAATAAATAAATAATAAGTTTTAAAATTTCAAGCAAATAAAAAGGATTATTATAACCAAAATTGATTTATGTTCAAGATGAACCACTAAAACTGAGAAAAAACATAGATAAAACAAAAATGATAAGATTTAATGTTATAAAAGTGAAATAGTCTCAAATTTTAATCATTTGAAAAAAATTTAAAACTCTAATTTACAATAATATAGAACCATCGTTTTTTAAAATGAAAGAAACAAAAAGTTTAGTTTAGGTTATAAAAACACAAAATTACTTTAAAGCAAAAAATATATTTTGATACAATATGAATTCAAAAACATATTTTCTAATACATAATGTAAAAAAATTTCAACACTTTATCCTCTAATCTAATTAACAAGTACAACTTATATTTTACATTTTTTTAATATCATTTTTTTAATTTAAATGGAGTATAAGGGACACTCATATCCATAAAATAATTTAATCATAAAAATAATTAAAAAAATACACAATATAAATATAAAATTATTGTTAATTATAATTTTAAAAAATATTATTATTAATTATCAAACGCAATTAGAATTTTTTAACAAGAAAAATTATTATAAAATTTAAAAATTGATAAAATATAATATAAAATCTAAAATTTAATATGAAAAGCTAAAGCATAAACTTGCACGGGTAAAAAGAAACTAGTTTTAATTAAATCAACCAAAATGTCATTAATTTTCATTCACTCTCAACCGCTGTTTCCAAGTTTCTCCTAACTTTGTCTTTCTTTCTGCAAAACCCTAAGTTCCTAATCAACTAATTCAAAGACTCCAAAAAATAACAACTTTGGAAAGGTTACATAATGAAAAATTACATATGATCATAACTTTAGAAAAATTATGAAGAGTGAAATCTATTACCTTACAATCAAGTCAGTCATCATTCTACTTAAATGCATCTCACATCAAAGTTTACATCAACGGAAAGAGCAATCTCATGCAACCAAATGAGGATTCAAAGCAACAAGACAGCAAGTCTTGGTAGAGAAAAGATAAATTCAGCAACAAAACTCTATGAGCTGTGCGACAGCGAACCTGTAGAACGGCTTTGCCTAAGTGGCATCACTGTTTATCATTATCGTGAGCCAGCAAATTGAAGTAATTACCTGAGACACACATCCATCAACAGAGCCCAGACGTAGAGAAGGGACAGTAGAGTCCTTTTCTTTCTTAGCCTTCTTTATCTGCCATTAAAGGAAAACTAATAATTAGTTGATTAGGGAATTGAGGTTTTGCAGAAAGAGAGTTAGGAGGAAATTGGTCATGGTGTTCCGTAGTGATTGAAAATTTTTTGTTTATTTAATTAAAATTAAAAGTACACATCAGCGGCACATGTGATTTGCCACATACTTTCGTTGCTTTTGTCGCATCCTCTAAGTCGTAGGATGTATCATTTTTTAACTTAAAAATATATTTAATTGAGTTGATTGTCA